CACTCCCTCGACAAACCTCTATGCCTTGTCGAATGTTGTTTCAAACACAGTGTGTTACCCCCCTTGTTTGCTCCAACATGGTTTCTGAGAAATAAATGTTTTGAATAATGAACCTCAACAATTTCACCAGTTGCCCATTTTGTGAGGTATCCAGACTTAGCAAAGTGACTCCAAGCGAATAAAACAACAACAACAACAATTCAACGGGCATTGTTCCCGCTCGCTTGTTAATCTTGGCAGCCAACAAAATTGCTCACGATCAATGCGTTTAGAAAAGGTCTTTTATAGCGTTCGAGGTTACCACGTGGTTTTTTTTTAAATCGTAGATATTCTTTGGGTTATTTCAGTAAAGTCACCGTGTGTCTTTTGTGTGTGTGTCTCTCTCTCTCTGCACGTGTCCCCGTGTCTGTGTTTCATCATTCATTCTCACCTGACGACGGTTGCATGTGTTGCAACCGAAACGTCTCGTATTCTATTACTATTTGATGTTATTTTCTACGTGACTTTTACCGAAAGAACCAAAGAGTAATTCATGCAGTCACGAAAGCTTCATAAATCGAGTTCGTAGCCGTTTGATATTGGCAGATTCGCACGTGAATCGTGTACCGATGACTCTCACGTACGATGCCATTTCACACGTTGAGACATCACCACACGGATCCACTGGGGTCCCCAGTTGAGAACCACTGGCTTGGAGCACTTTCCTCAAAAGTGTGTTGAGGCTATACGGGGGGGGGGGCTTTATCTTTGTATGGAGGCTGTAGGCGGGGCATCAGAAGCTCGGGCGACGTGAGTCAAAGAGCCCCGAGGGTGATGAACCCTGTGGGGGGGGGGGGGGGGGGTGATGAACCCTGTGTGTGGGAGGGGGGGGGTGATGAACCTTGTGGGGGGGGGGGTGAACACGGGGGGAGGGTGATGAACAGGGGGGGTGATGTACAGGGGGGGTGAACGGGGGGGGGGTGATGAACATGAGAGGGGAGGGAGCAGCAGCCACGCGACTCGTGCGTCCTTGAAGGCGCGAGTAGCTCTCCCTCGCCTCTCTCTCTCCTCTCCCTCGCCTCTCGCTCGCAATGAGCGAGAGGCGAGGGAGAGAGAGGCGAGCGAGAGGGAGAGGCCTTGGACGCGCTCGTGGTGGAGAGGCGCGGTGCCAATTTCCCCTTTCTGTGTTGCACGGGGGAAGAGCGAATAAAGGAATTCATAACTTTAGACACCTTGAATAGAGTGCGCGTGTGAGAGTGTGTGTGAGAGAGAGAGAGTGTGATAGAGAGAGAGTGTGTGTTAGTGTGCGTGCGTGTTAGTGTGCGTGCGTGTGTGTTAGTGTGCGTGCGTGTTAGTGTGCGTGGCTGTTAGTGTGCGTGCGTGTTAGTGTGCGTGCGTGTTAGTGTGCGTGTGTGTGTTAGTGTGCGTGCGTGTTAGTGTGCGTGCGTGTTAGTGTACGTGCGTGCGTGTTAGTGTGCGTGTGTGTTAGTGTGCGTGCGTGCGTGTTAGTGTGCGTGCGTAAGAGTGTGCGTGCGTAAGAGTGTGCGTGCGTAAGAGTGTGCGTGCATAAGAGTGTCCGTGCGTAAGAGTGTCCGTGCGTAAGAGTGTGCGTGCGTAAGAGTGTGCGTGCATAAGAGTGTCCGTGCGTAAGAGTGTCCGTGCGTAAGAGTGTGCGTGCGTAAGAGTGTGCGTGCGTAAGAGTGTGCGTGTGTAAGAGTGTCCGTGCGTAAGAGTGTGCGTGCGTAAGAGTGTGCGTGCGTAAGAGTGTCCGTGCGTAAGAGTGTGCGTGTGTAAGAGTGTCCGTGCGTAAGAGTGTGCGTGCGTTAGAGTTGCGTGCGTAAGAGTGTCCGTGTGTAAGAGTGTGCGTGCGTAAGAGTGTGCGTGCGTAAGAGTGTGCGTGTGTAAGAGTGTGCGTGCGTAAGAGTGTGCGTGCGTAAGAGTGTGCGTGCGTAAGAGTGTGCGTGCGTAAGAGTGTCCGTGCGTAAGAGTGTCCGTGCGTAAGAGTGTGCGTGCGTAAGAGTGTGCGTGCGTAAGAGTGTCCGTGCGTAAGAGTGTCCGTGCGTAAGAGTGTCCGTGCGTAAGAGTGTGCGTGTGTAAGAGTGTGCGTGCGTAAGAGTGTGCGTGCGTAAGAGTGTGCGTGCGTAAGAGTGCGCGTGCGTAAGAGTGTCCGTGCGTAAGAATGTGCGTGCGTAAGAGTGTGCGTGCGTAAGAGTGTGCGTGCGTAAGAGTGTCCGTGCGTAAGAGTGTGCGTGCGTAAGAGTGTGCGTGCGTAAGAGTGTGCGTGCGTAAGAGTGTCCGTGCGTAAGAGTGTGCGTGCGTAAGAGTGTGCGTGCGTAAAAGTGTCCGTGCGTAAGAGTGTGCGTGCGTAAGAGTGTCCGTGCGTAAGAGTGTGCGTGCGTAAGAGTGTCCGTGCGTAAGAGTGTGCGTGCGTAAGAATGTGCGTGCGTAAGAGTGTGCGTGCGTAAAAGTGTCCGTGCGTAAGAGTGTGCGTGCATAAGAGTGTGCGTGCGTAAGAGTGTGCGTGTGTGTTAGAGTGTGTGTGTGTGTTAGAGTGTGCGTGTGTGTAAATGGGGAGCGGTGGTGCAGTGGTTAGCGCGCTGCGCTCCGAACCCGGCGACCGATCCTGGGCCTCTCCTGGTGCGTTAAAACATCGCCACTGGGGAGACAAAGGCGGTCGGGCGTGGTGCTACCCACCCACCTCCTCGTGTGCCGTGCCGGCCTTCATAGGGTGCTCGCTAACAGCACTTGCCCGAAACAGTCTATGCAGTCTACATGGCGGATCTTTGTCTTTGTGTCAGTGTGTATATCAGGGACATTGCAAAATGTTCCCATTTGCCCAGGAATGTCTCCACGAATGCTCTCGCTCTCTCGTCTTATTCTCTCTCTCTTTTTCTTTCTTCTCAACTCCTTCGATTCCACATTGTTGAGTCTCGGCGATGTGAAGTTTTAATTCCTCGTATCGTTTTCAATTTCCCGTCTCCGGTTTCTCCTGCTCAGTCCGAGAGCCCATTCCACATTCGTTGTCGCGACCTTGATGGATATAAAGGCACGAGAATAATTTACTTTCATTCGAGATATGTACGTATTTTAAGCCAATTATCTCGTTGTGCTGCTGCTGCTGCTGCGTTGACAAACGATACACACGGAGAGTTGAATAACAGCAGCGACGTTTTGGGAAATGTCCCTTCTTCAAAACACGTAGATGGAGAGGGCAGAGAGATGGAGTTAATTAAAGTTGTAATCGCGCGCTTTGTACTATGGGCTCACCCACTCAATCATTCACCCACCCACTTACACACTCACTCACTCACGCACTCACTCACTCAATCATTCACCCACCCACTCACACACTGACAAAGATCCCCCGTGTAGCCTTACACACTCACTCACACACACACTCACACACTCACTCGCACACTCACTCATTCACACACTCACTCACTCACACAATCACTCACTCACACACTCACTCACACACTCACACACCCACACTCACTCACACACATACACTCACTCACACACTCACACACCCACTCACACATTCACGCACTCACTCACACACTCACTCACTCACACCCACACTCACTCACTCACACACTCACACACCCACTCATACACTCACGCACTCACTCACACACTCACACACTCACTCACACACTCACATACACTCACTCACACACTCACTCACTCACTCACACCCACACTCACTCACTCACACACTCACACACACTCACTCACACATTCACTCACTCACTCACTCTCACTCACTCACACACTCACACCCACACTCACTCACACACTCACTCACTCACACACTCACACCCACACTCACTCACACACTCACTCACTCACTCACACACTCACACCCACACTCACTCACTCACTCACACACTCACTCACATACTCACTCACTCACTCACCCACACACTCACTCTCACTCACTCACACACTAACACACTCACCCACACACTCACACACTCACCTGAGAACGCGGTCATCAAGCTCTCGGCTTACGCAGACGACATGATGCGTCGTGCTCAACGACGCGCATCACGTCTCTGCACTCTGCCAGGTGTTTGCCGTGTATGAGAGGGCCTCCTCCACCAGGGTCAACTGGCCCAAGTGCGAGGCCCTCTCTGTGCTTGGGGTCACGAGGCGGCGTTCGCTCTGTGCTCCTCCCAGGAGAAGTCGTTTGGGGGGGCGACGGAGTCAAGTACCTGGGGAAACCCCCACGACGTCGCTCTGAACAATTGGACCGAGCTGGCCGACACAATCGAGGCTAAATTACTAACATGGGCGCACGCCTCGCTCCGCAGATGTCATTCAGGGGCCGAGTGCTCGTCGCTAACACCCTGGCTGCATACTGCGTGCTGTGGCACAAGACCAAGGCCCTCCAGCCTCCTGCTTGGCTACTCACCAGAGTTATCTTCTCACTCGCGCACACTTCGTCTGGCACGGGAAGCACTGGCTCAGGCCGGGCGTTCTCTGCCTGCCGGTGGGCGAGGGCGGTCAGGGTCTGGTGGACGTCGCCGCCAGGGTCATGAGCTTCAGGGTCACGAGTTTCAGGTTCATGGCAGTCAGGCGGCTGCTGTACGACCGGGAGGAGCTACACTGGTAGTCGCCGGCCCTCGCCCTGCTGAGGAACGCAGGGGGGTTCCCGGGGTACGGAAAGGAGCTCTTCCTGATGGACCTGAGCCTGGTCGACTACACGAGGCTGCCAGGTTATCACCAGAGCCCCTTAGACGCGTGGCGGAGCTTCGAGAGGAGCAGAACGTGCGTGGCACCCTACGACCTCGCGCAGTTCCTGAACGAGTCCTTGTTCTGAAACGGACTTTTCCAGGGAATCAGAGGGGAGAGGGCCCTGGCTCTACGCCTCACATCGGCAGGGCTGCGGACAGTCTTCCACCTCGTGCAGGGCCACCAGCCCAAGTGGAAGACCGCAGCTGAGATCGCCAACACCGCTAGGGGACACCGCTCCATGCTCGCCGGGGAGAAACCGCTGTGGGACATCGCTCCGCGCCATGAAGGAGCTGCTGCAGGCACCAGGGGATGGCGGTGCCCCCCCCTCCTCTTCTTTCCCGGAGTTGTGCTTCCCCTGCGCGCAGCCCCCCGTCCACAGCGACTCCGGCAAGCTACTGAAGCTCCGAGGCTGCAGGAACGTGCCCCTGAAGAGTGCCCAAGCAAAGCGCTCTACACGTGCTGCGTCAAGGCGCTCTACACGTGCTGTGTCAAGGCGCTCTACACGTGCCGTGTCAAGGCGCTCTACACGTGGCTGTGTCAAGGCGCTCTACACGTGCTGTGTCGAGGCGCTCTACACGTGCTGTGTCAAGGCACTCTACACGTCCTGTGTCAAGGCGCTTTACACGTGCTGTGTCAAGGCGCTCTACACGTGCTGTGTCAAGGCGCTCTACACGTGGCTGTGTAAAGGCGCTCTACACGTGCTGCGTCAAGGCGCTCTACACGTGCTGCGTCAAGGCGCTCTACACGTGCTGCGTCAAGGCGCTCTACACGTGACTGTGTCAAGGCGCTCTACACGTGCTGCGTCAAGGCGCTCTACACGTGCTGTGTCAAGGCGCTCTACACGTGCCGTGTCAAGGCGCTCTACACGTGGCTGTGTCAAGGCGCTCTACACGTGCTGTGTCGAGGCGCTCTACACGTGCTGTGTCAAGGCACTCTACACGTCCTGTGTCAAGGCGCTCTACACGTGCTGTGTCAAGGCGCTCTACACGTGCTGTGTCAAGGCGCTCTACACGTGGCTGTGTAAAGGCGCTCTACACGTGCTGCGTCAAGGCGCTCTACACGTGCTGCGTCAAGGCGCTCTACACGTGCTGCGTCAAGGCGCTCTACACGTGACTGTGTCAAGGCGCTCTACACGTGGCTGTGTCAAGGCGCTCTACACGTGCTGTGTCAAGGCGCTCTACACGTGCTGTTTCAAGGCGCTCTACACGTGCTGTGTCAAGGCGCTCTACACGTGCTGCGTCAAGGCGCTCTACACGTGCTGCGTCAAGGCGCTCTACACGTGCTGTTTCAAGGCGCTCTACACGTGCTGCGTCAAGGCGCTCTGCACGTGCTGCGTCAAGGCGCTCTACATGTGCTGTTTCAAGGCGCTCTACACGTGCTGTGTCAAGGCGCTCTACACGTGCTGTGTCAAGGCGCTCTACACGTGCTGTGTCAAGGCGCTCTACGCGTGCTGTGTCAAGGCGCTCTACACGTGCTGTGTCAAGGCGCTCTACACGTGCCGTGTCAAGGCACTCTACACGTGGCTGTGTCAAGGCGCTCTACACGTGCTGTGTCAAGGCGCTCTACACGTGCTGTGTCAAGGCACTCTACACGTGCTGTGTCAAGGCGCTCTACACGTGCTGTGTCAAGGCGCTCTACACGTGGCTGTGTCAAGGCGCTCTACACGTGCCGTGTCAAGGCGCTCTACACGTGGCTGTGTCAAGGCGCTCTACACGTGCCGTGTCAAGGCGCTCTACACGTGCTGTGTCAAGGCACTCTACACGTGCTGTGTCAAGGCGCTCTACACGTGACTGTGTCAATGCGCTCTACACGTGCTGTGTCAAGGCGCTCTACACGTGCTGTGTCAAGGCGCTCTATACGTGCTGCGTCAAGGCGCTCTACACGTGACTGTGTCAAGGCGCTCTATACGTGCTGTGTCAAGGCGCTCTACACGTGACTGTGTCAAGGCGCTCTACACGTGACTGTGTCAAGGTGCTCTACACGTGGCTGTGTCAAGGCGCTCTACACGTGCTGCGTCAAGGCGCTCTACACGTGGCTGTGTCAAGGCGCTCTGCACGTGCTGTGTCAAGGCGCTCTACACGTGCTGTGTCAAGGCGCTCTACGCGTGCTGCGTCAAGGCGCTCTACACGTGCTGCGTCAAGGCGCTCTACACGTGCTGTGTCAAGGCACTCTACACGTGCTGTGTCAAGGCGCTCTACACGTGCTGTGTCAAGGCGCTCTACACGTGCTGTGTCAAGGCGCTCTACACGTGGCTGTGTCAAGGTGCTCTACACGTGCTGTGTCAAGGCGCTCTACACGTGCTGTGTTAAGGCGCTATACACGTGCTGTGTCAAGGTGCTCTACACGTGCTGTGTCAAGGTGCTCTACACGTGCTGTGTCTAGGCGCTCTACACGTGCAAGGCGCTCTACACGTGGCTGTGTCAAGGCGCTCTACACGTGGCTGTGTCAAGGCGCTCTACACGTGCTGTGACAAGGCGCTCTACACGTGCTGTGTCAAGGTGCTCTACACGTGCTGTGTCAAGGCGCTCTACACGTGCTGTGTCAAGGCGCTCTACACGTGATGTGTCAAGGCGCTCTGCACGTGCTGTGTCAAGGCGCTCTACACGTGCTGTGTCAAGGCGCTCTACACGTGCTGTGTCAAGGCGCTCTACACGTGCTGTGTCAAGGCGCTCTACACGTGCTGTGTCAAGGCGCTCTACACGTGCTGTGTCAAGGCGCTCTGCACGTGCTGTGTCAAGGCGCTCTACACGTGCTGTGTCAAGGCGCTCTGCACGTGATGTGTCAAGGCGCTTTACACGTGCTGCGTCAAGGCGCTCTACACGTGCTGTGTCAAGGCGCTCTACACGTGACTGTGTCAAGGCGCTCTACACGTGCTGTGTCAAGGCGCTCTACACGTGCTGTGTCAAGGCGCTCTACACGTGCTGTGTCAAGGCGCTCTACACGTGCTGTGTCAAGGCGCTCTACACGTGCTGTGTCAAGGCGCTCTACACGTGCTGTGTCAAGGCGCTCTACACGTGCTGTGTCAAGGCGCTCTGCACGTGCTGTGTCAAGGCGCTCTACACGTGCTGTGTCAAGGCGCTCTGCACGTGATGTGTCAAGGCGCTTTACACGTGCTGCGTCAAGGCGCTCTACACGTGCTGTGTCAAGGCGCTCTACACGTGACTGTGTCAAGGCGCTCTACACGTGCTGTGTCAAGGCGCTCTACACGTGCTGTGTCAAGGCGCTCTACACGTGCTGTGTCAAGGCGCTCTACACGTGACTGTGTCAAGGCGCTCCCCACGTGACTGTGTCAAGTCGCTCTACACGTGACTGTGTCAAGGCGCTCTATACGTGCTGTGTCAAGGCGCTCTACACGTGACTGTGTCAAGGTGCTTTACACGTGCTGTGTCAAGGCGCTCTACACGTGATGTGTCAAGGCGCTCTACACGTGCTGTGTCAAGGCGCTCTACACGTGCTGTGTCAAGGCGCTCTATACGTGCTGTGTCAAGACGCTCTACACGTGCTGTGTCAAGGCGCTCTACACGTGCTGTGTCAAGGCGATCTACACGTGCTGTGTCAAGGCGCTCTACACGTGCTGCGTCAAGGCGCTCTACACGTGCTGCGTCAAGGCGCTCTACACGTGCTGTGTCAAGGCGCTCTACACGTGCTGCGTCAAGGCGCTCTACACGTGCTGTGTCAAGGCGCTGCATTCCCAGGACCTGGCCGACCTACCGGACACAAAATTGGACAGAACATTTTTCTCCTCTCATTGTGGCCGCCCCTCAGTGGAAACTAATGTACAAGTCTCCCCCTGTAGCCAAACGCTGCGGTAACCGCCAGTGGAGGTTGGCACACTGCACCTTGCCATCGGCCGTGTGGCTCAGCCGAATCTCTTGCCAGGGGTAACAGACTCGTGCATTTCCTGCGGTGCGAGGGAGGATCTGCCCCACCGGTACTTACGCTGCCAGCGGCTCAAACCAATGTTCCGCCTTTTGGGGGACATCTTCAGGAAACTGGGGGTACCCTTCTACAACAGCAGCTTCGTATATGGGGGGTGCCTTACCTGGCTAGCAAGCGCCATGACCTCGCCAACTTCGCCTGTGCTCAGGCGAAGATGGCGGTGTACATGCTGGAAGGTGACACTGACGGCTGCTCTGTGCTTCCAGTGTTCAGGGGCCCCCTCAAGGCGCGGCTGCGGCTGAAGCACGCCATGTACCACACATATGTCGGTGATGTGCACGTCTTCTTCGAACGCTGGGGAGCTGGAAAAGCCCCTCTCTGCACCAGCGTGGACGGCACCCTCGTGGTGTTCACCTTCTGAAGCGCTCGCTCGTCACCGTGGCGTGCGTGATGACCACCACAACCACCACGTGACTTTTCTTTCGTGTTGTGCGTGGTGCTTTTAGCGCCACAGCGCGTCGATTTGTAGCGTTTGTTTTATTTTGTTGACTTCATGTATTTCATATTGAAATCGCCTCCAGTGCTTTTTGCTGCTGGCGGCAATAAAAGTTGTTTTAAAGTCAAAAGTCTCTACCTCCTCTCTTCCTACTCCGTGTCGCTCTCTCTCTCTCGCTTTTTCTCTCGCTCTTTTTTTAACTAGGACAAGTGCTGCATCTGCACGCAGCCCTTCTCGCAAGTCCAACGGCCTCCGACGGGTAGCTCATATCAGCATGCAGAGCTCCCCGTCATCTGCCACCGAGCACACGGCCTCCTCCATCGCCCACTGCTCCTTGAAGGCCGGCACGGCGTGGGTCAGCCACGCCGCATGGCGGAACTCCAGCCCACACACCCCCTGGCTCCAACCAGAGCGCGGAAGATGCCCAGGCTGCTGGCCGGACGTTTCCCCTCCAGGGTCACCTTCCTCGCCCTGTGCATGGCGAGCGTAGCCGACGAGCACGTTGACCAGACCCTGAAGATGTTGGAGTCCGTCGCCCTTCGGGTATCCAAAGATGAGGACCGTCCGTCGGGTAGAAGTGGAGGCTGTCTCTCTCCTGTTACTCGCTCGCTCTCTTCTCGCTCTCTCTGTCGCCTTCTGCGTTTCTTTCACTCATCACCGCCTTTGATCGCAACGGCGATTCCCTTCCCGATCCCACTCACCCCCCTCGGCTGAATCGGACGCGGTGACCTCGTGTATGTGTGTGTGTGGTACCATTGTGTGTGTGTGTGTGTTCTCTCTCTCATCTCTCTCCTCTCTCTAATGTGTGTTTGCATTGTGTTGGAAATATAAATAAATACATTTCCCAAACCCACCCAACAGTTTGCATAACGAATTGTGTGCCAGTGACGTTCGCTGTCCTTGTACAACACAATGCGCGTTTATGTAACGTGTCCACTGGGGGTGTTTTGGCTGCGTGCGCGTGTGTGTGTTGTGCTCGCTAACAACACTTGCCCCAACAGTCTGTTAAGGCTACACGGGGCGTCTTTGTCTTTGCGTGTGGTGGTGTTCATCGCGGCGGTGCGGCGGTGAGCGTTTCAGCTGCGAACCCGAGTTCCATTCCCGCTCACGGCCGCCGACGCCAGCGGCGATTTACAGCAAAACCCCGGTTTACGTGGGGGATGCGTTCCTCCAATGTCCTACGATGACGAATGTCGAAGCGAACTCGATCAAAGCGAACTTGGAGGGTAGTGGTGGGTGGTGGGGGTGGTGGTGGGTGGTGGTGGTAGTGGTGGTGGTGGTGGGTGGTGGTGGTGGTGGTAGTGGTGGGTGGTGGTGGGTGGTGGTGGGTGGTGGGTGTGGGTGGTGGTTGTGGGTGGTGGTGGGTGGTGGTGGTGGTGGGTGGTGGTGGTGGTGGGTGGTGGTGGTGGGTGGTGGTGGTAGTGGTGGTAGTGGTGGGTGGTGGTAGTGGTGGGTGGGTGGTGGTAGTGGTGGGTGGTGGTGGTGGGTGGTGGTGGTGGTGGGTGGTGGTGGTGGGTGGTGGTGGTAGTGGTGGGTGGTGGTGGGTGGTGGTAGTGGTGGTGGTGGTGGGTGGTGGAGGTGATGGAGGTGTAGCTGAGAGGCGACGGATAACGAGAAACGACGGACGACGCTGCTGTCAGCGACGTAAGTGTGGGGCTGTGGCGAAGCAAATCGGGTAGTGGTGGTGGGTGGTGGTGGTGGTGGTGGTGGGTGGTGGTGTGGTGGTGGTGGTGGTGGTGGTGGTTGGTGGGTGATGTGGTGGTGGGTGGTGGTGGTGATGGGTGGTGGTGGTGGTGGTGGTGGTGGTGGTGGGTGGTGGTGGTGGTGGGTGGTGGTGGTGGTGGGTGGTGGTGGTGATGGGTGGTGGTGGTGGTGGTGGGTGGTGGTGGTGGTGGGTGGTGGTGGTGGTGGGTGGTGGTGGTGGTGGTGTCAATAAAGTGACGACGTACAGAGGGGGAGGGAGGGGAGAGATGTAAATCGACGTTTTGCTGCGTCCGAATCAATCCTGGGGCTCACCCTGGGTCCACTCCGTCTCAAATGTGAGTATCGCTTGCGGTGTGTGGACATTGCCGCTCTGGAGACCGCGTGAGTCTGCGGCGAGGTGTGGACTCATCTCCATCTGTCTCGGGTGTGGACCACAATCAACTTCAAGGACAGTGCATGTCATTATCATCCTAGATTTGAAGCTTTCGTGACTGCAAGGATTCATATTCTTAGCGTTTTTCGGTAAAGTCACGTAGGTAAAACATTAAAATTAATAAAAGTAAAATAAATAAAAATCACGACGTTTCGGAGGCAACACGGAAGCTTGTGTTGCCTCCGAAACGTCGTGATTTTTATTTTATTTTACTTTTATTAATTTTAATGTTTTACCTACGTGACTTTACCGAAACAACCTAAGAATATCATTATCATCATCAGGGTTGTTTTTTTTTGTTTGCATTTTGACTTCTTGTGTTGAGGTTATTGCAAACATGATGCCTTGTATAAAGGTGTCAGATTTTGTACCAGTTAAAAGGGTAAAAACCTATTATTATATTTTGCCACTGGTAAAGGATGTCTCATATTGTAAATGCTTACCCCGAGCTCTCAATACTCTGATAGTGCGCTGTCTTTGAGTTGTACGCCTTTTGGCGTCACCTGGTCCAACACCAGTGGAGACTAGGCTCTAAAGAAATCTGTCTCGGGTGTGGACCAATCAACTTCAAGGACAGTGCATATCATTATCATCATCAGAGTTGTTTCTTTTTGTTTGCATTTTGACTTCTTGTGTTGAGGTTATTGCAAACATGATGCCTTGTATAAAGGTGTCAGATTTTGTACCAGTTGAAAGGGTAAAAACCTATTATTATATTTTGCCACTGGTAAAGGAGGTCTCATAGTGTAAATGCTTACCCCGAGCTCTCAATACTCTGATAGTGCGCTGTCTTTGAGTTGTACGCCTTTTGGCGTCATCTGGTCCAACACCAGTGGAGACTAGGCTCTAAAGAAAGCTGTCTCGGGTGTGGACCAATCAACTTCAGCACAGTGCATGTCAATATCATCATCAGAGTTGTTTCTTTTTGTTTGCATCTTGACTTCTTGTGTTGAGGTTATTGCAAACATGATGCCTTGTATAAAGGTGTCAGATTTTGTACCAGTTGAAAGGGTAAAAACCTATTACTATCATCGCCATCTGTTGCACTCCGCGAGGCGTGAGGGCGGCTTTGTCCGGGATGCTCCGCGTGTCTTAGCACACTAGAAGAATGAAGACGGCTCAGCGGCAGCAGCAGCAGCGGCGGCGTAATCGTCGTCGTCAGTAATACAATTAAACTGGTCAACAACAAAAAACACGTTTTTTTTCTGGCCTGGACTTTGCAGCTGTTTTAGACAAATTTCAGGGCGCTGATTCCAAATCTGATCTCAGATTTGCTCTATCACATCTCATTTTTATGCTATCGGCATACCCCATTTTCATTGATTTTACCCGAAATTAACTCTGTCACTTATAAATGCAAGTTGTTGCGAGTCAGTGACTGCTTTAGTGTTAAAATACGGTGCTGTATTTTTAGGATAGTGTGTTTATAGTATAATTGTATGTAGATATCCACATTTATTTAATATTTTTCTTCTGCAGTTTTAATTGAAAATGCAATATTTGATATAGATAAAAACTGATGCCAGATTTGGAATCAGCACCCCAAAATTACCTTGAAACCGTTGGGATACCTTATGCCAGAAAAAGTGTGTTGACCAGTATTATTAGTTGGCCGGATAAAAAACACAAAACGCCAAGGCGGCAGAGGCAGGAGCCCCTCCTGACAGTTGCGACTCTCAGTGCTAAATGAGTAAATGATTGCATACTAGTTATTGCTATGTATGTATACTGTAGTATTGTATTATGGCTTGCCTGATGTTACGTAATGGTCATTATCATCAGCATTGACCTTGGAGTAGGTGGCGTCGTGGTTGGGTTGGGTGGGCATGTCCACCCCACCCAGCCTTCCTCCCCCCACCAACCTGGACAATTTAGTAATCTTTTGAAGAACGTAATCAACCAGGTGGGGTGTTGACTCTTGTGTAGGCCGACTCTCTGTGTTGTATCGCATTATATTTCCAAGTTTACGATGTTTGTTTTTTCATTTATTTGTACCTGACGATGGTTGCTTGTGTTGCAATCGAAACGTCGTATTCTATTATACCAAACCATCTTCATCCTACCACTTGTAATAAAGCTCTTTGAGACGACTTCTGGAATCCGTCTTTTATTCACTTTGGGTTACATCTACTTCACGCTGCTGATAGACAACGTGAAGGGACAGATAGACCGAGAGAGACGCACTGCCACGTGGCAACTCGGAGCCCCGCTCTTGCGTGGCCCCTTCCTCCGTTGTTTCCCGTTCTGACCACGTGTCGTTCCTCTATACCCCTATTTAATACCCGGGTCACGTGGTACGCTCAGCCAATCCTCGTTAGCCTGCATCGAATCTTCCAGGCTCCCTCGTCAGCTCCCGGGACCACGCCCCTGACTCATCTCCCCATTGGCTGAGGCCAAAGCCAGCAGAACCAATCTCCATAGCTGTCACCTTTCCATCACGTCAGGGCCATGCCCCCAGGCTTCCCCCCATTGGCTGTAAGCCAGGACCGGCAGAGCCAATCACCATGACAAGGTGTGATACGTCAGTGAGCCGGATATATTCTCATATTACACAGGCAAAGCCTACTGAGGTGTTAACTTCATTTTCAGAAACGACCTGGCCACAAATGATAGCGGAAAAAAGTGTCTTATCACGTGGAGATTTATCGCAGCCTAAATCATCTAAATAATATCAATGTATGTTTCTAAATGTGGAGGGGAAAACCCTGAGAAAAAAAAATCCACGCGACCACGGAAAAAAAGACACCACAAACTCCAAATATACAGCAGGCGTCAGGGTCGTGATCGAACCCACGAACTCTTCCGTACCAGGCGAGGTAGTGAACATTACACCACCGTGATCATGATTATGATGAGAGAGAGACACGCAAACTCCAAATATAGAGCAGCAGGCGTCAGGGTATGGCTCGAACCCACGTCCTCCTGCATACCAGGCGAGGTAGTTAACATCTCCTAGCCACTGTGATGATGAGAGAGAGATGCAAACTCCAAATATACAGCAGCAGGCGTCAGGGTCGGGATCGAACCCACGACCTCCTGCGTACCAGGCGAGGTAGTTAACATCTCATAGCCACCGTGATGATGATGAGAGAGAGACACACACACAAACTCCAAATATACAGCAGCAGGCGCCAGGGTCGTGATCGAACCCACGACCTCCTGCGTACCAGGCGAGCTAGTTAACATCTCCTGGCCACCACAAACTCCACGTTTGAGGCCGCCCTCATCCAGCAGTGGACTGACAAGCCGGTTCGCGTGGCTCTCGCGAGGAACGAGGACAAATACACGACGGTGTGTCCGTCCTTGGAGGTATCCGACGGAGATAATTTGCCGCTCCACATGGGCGCATTGTCGACTCGAGACAGAAGGCGATGGTTTGAGAATGGGGGTTGAGTGGATGGGTGGG